TTTTGATAGAAATGAATGGGCCGAAGGCCGTTTAGACATAAATGAATGGGCTGAAGGCCGTTTTGACATGAATGGAAATCTGAATGGGTCAAAGGCCAGTATGTTGAAACTACAGTCACTTAATCTAAATTTTGTGTAAATGTATATATATTAAGTAGAAATATGAATTGGGTCTAAGGCCGTTTGGAGCATGTTGTTCTACACATTGTTATGTAACTTCTGTATTTGATATTATTCACTGGGCTATTACTCACGCTCATTCATGTGTTTGTAGGTGAGCCGAGGGAAGTCCAAACCCAGCCCCAGTGAAGTACGTGAGGAACAACAAAGGTTTTGGAGAGTCAGCCCTTGTGTCTCATGCACGAGACCAGTCTTCGCCACTTTTGTTATGTATTTATATTTTGTCTTGCTGGCGAGGACTTTGTATATATCTATATATAGTTTTGTTATGGGTTGACTTAGTTTGGCTTATCCTATCTGTAAAGGATTTCATGGTACTGTACTTTGTTGTGAGTTATTAACGTATATGTGTATGGTTTGTTTTGAAGTGCATATAAACACGGCTCTATGGACAAAGTTTTTAATTATTGCTTCCGTTTGGCCTCTTTACTCTGATGAGTTATGTCTGTTTTGGTTTTAGGCCGTAGGTAATCTCAGGATTACTGGCCGGTTATGTCCTTAACCTATAGGGGTGGGTTCGGGTCATGACACAGTACATGTGCAGTACATGGTGAAATTCAAGATACTGGTTAAATGATCAAAACACATGAAAATGAAACCGAAGTAAAGTTCACCGGGATCAGACAGAGGCCGTAAGTAAGGAAGTGCAGCAGAAACCTCACCAGAGAGGAGGATGAAACTGGTTACAGAAAGTTTCGCAAAAACAGCAATAGAGGATTTGAAAGAGAAAGTTTAAACAAAAACGAAGATACAGAAGTGAAAAGACGGAGAGAGTGAAGAGATTTTGATCAAATACGCAGATGCAAGGCGACTCAATGACGCGTATTAGACACGGCTCAGTAGAGGAAAAATGTATGGCAGAAACGGTTGAAAAATTGTACGTGCCAACTCATACGTATGAAGAAAACTCTTGAAGTTCTTGATTTAATGAAACAAATACCTCAGCTAGAAGGACAATTTCGGCTGAGAAACTTGAACGAAATTGGTTATTGGTTCCAAACCTTGATAAAAGCAGACTATAGGTCTGGGTCATATTGAGCCGACGAGTTCTGACTTCGGCAATAAATGATAAAACAAGCTTAGTCGACGTGCTAGATGAAAGAGATAATATAGGTTCCATCACCTCAGTTTGCCGAGGTAATAGAACCTAGGGGCAGTTGTGGAGACATATTTTTTGGGTAGTCCACGTGGCCGAGGTTGTTAGCCGAGGTGCTACGTGGGCAGATCATGTTTGCCGAGATATTTGGGGCAATGCCGAGTTATTCTGCGACAATACCAGAATCCGAGATAAAGCGGATGAGGGACAAGAGTCTTAGAATGGGAGAAGACTTCAGTTTGGGTAAAGAAAAGACTCTTAAAGAGTTTATCCTAATCCAACTAAGAGTCCAAGGTTAGCAGTAATCCTAAGTCCATTAGAGCTAGGCTTCTATTGGGACTAGGATTGTGTTTGCTATAAAAGGGAGGCACCCCCATGGATCAAAGGTATGCTTTTGATATTCTGTCTAGTGAGTTAAGCACTATTGGTTATCTTTGAGAGATATTGAGTACTGACTTGATCGTCGGAGTGCCCCTGGGTGGACGAGCCACCGCCAGAAACTCTTCTTTCTGTTGCAGGTCGTTCGGGCTTAATCTATTCTGCCAGTGCTCTCTAGCTGGGTACCTGTTTGGCAGTGTGGTCAGAAAATCACCCACACAATGATAGCTGTTGCTCTTGCTCATTAGGTTGTGATCATGAAGACAACATTTTTCAAAAAACTTCTAGTCTTTTTTCTTTATTTAAAGGTTTAGTTAATTTGGATAGAATAGGGATTGCCTATGTTAGGCTTTCTTGACCTCTTTAAATTTTGCTATATTTTTTTATGCTCTTTTTCAGAAGTTAGACAATAATGTCGGGGAAGCATTGACGAATTAGCTTAAATAGTTGTGTCTGGTGTTATGCATGCAAGCTGTTTGCTAAAATGGTTGGTATCATTTTTGGTAAAGAAGGTTTGGATGGTCGAGCTATAGCTCTGTGATTGTGATATTTAAGTTTGCTTTTTTGTTCATTTTGTTGTGTCTTTTTCCTTCTATTCTTTCCATTTGTTTTATTTTGTTGTAGAAAATGTCTTCATAGGACTTACCTCGAAAATTTCTTTGTATTTAGATTAAGAAGACAAGAAGTTAGTGTGTTACATTATCTTTCTTCAATAATGTTGTTCTTTTTCCCCTCATTCGAAGTTTGAGGACATGTCGTCACAATATGTACTCCAGAGATTAGTGCTTTTGCTTCTGTTTTTGTTTCTACCTTGCAGTTTTGCTGTTTCTTCTTCTTGTTGTTGCTGTTGGTTGATTGGAAATGCCATAAATGAAGGAGGTGTTTATCTCCTCTTTCATGATATTGATTGTTTCAATAAATTTGATTGCTGCCTGTGTAAATATTAAATCAAAATTGAAGTTTTGTGGAACAATTCTACCAACTTATGCAAGGAACAGTACCTTGATGCCTTATGCTAAAAGACCTCTCTTTCATTGCTCTTTTCTATAACAGGTTTTGGCTGACCTATCAAGTTTTGATAAATGTTTTAAGGGCAATGCCATTGTAGATCTTTTTTTTTTCTTTTTTTTTTTTGTAAACTAAAGCCGTTGTGGATTAGAATGCAACTTTTATTACTGGAAAGAGTTTGGATAAAGCTTCGTAGCTCGAAATTGGAGAGGCTCGAATGCCCTGAGTGCCAAAACGACGCCGTTTTGGCATTCTTTTTTCTCTTCTTTTTTTTTAATGTTCTTTTTCCTTCTTCCTCCCTAGAACTGGTTTCAAAGAAAGAGAGAGAAACGGAGAGGCAAGAGGAAAAAATGAGGAGGAAGAGAGGAGAAGAAAACAAAAAAGACGGGGCCATGGACGAACCACTCCACAACCCAACCCGTACCATGTTCGCGAGGTAAGCAACTCAAAATGTGGTGGGTTTGATTTTGTTTTGATTTTGATTTTGAGTATGTGGGTTTGGTTTTGATTTTGAGATTGATTTTTTATTTTGGGTGTTGTGGTGGTGGAGCAGAAAATACAAAAGAAGAAGAAGAGGAAGAAGAAGAGGAAGAAGAAGAGGGATGGTGGAGCAGATCTGTGTATACATAGATCTAATCGGCACAAATCTTGTTTGATTTTTTTGATTTTTCCTTTCTTATCTGTTCTATCTCTTTCCTCTCCTCTATCTCTTTTTTTTTTATTCTAAGTTATGGAAGAAGAAGAAGAAGAAAAAAAAAGGTGTCGTAGTTTTGGCACCTCGAGCCATTCGAGCCTCAATGAATTCAAGCTACCTAACGGAACTGGGATAGTTTCTAATGCTGCTTGGTTAAAGTTTTCCAAAAATATTTTTCAAAAAATTCTACTTTCTTGTTTTTCGTATTTTTTTGTTTTTATTGAATTTTTTTAATATTTTAAGCAATTTGTTTTTTAATTTTTAGACATACCTAACATAAATATCCTTAAAAAGTAAAAAGTTTGTGAAAAAACCTTTAAAAATTCACTAAATACCAAAATATAAAAATATATATATATGAGAATTCAGTATATTTTTTTTATATTTTTATGTATTTATTAATTTTTTAAAATATTTTTGCACAATTTTATTTTTTTTTAGATACATCTAAGTAAGGTGTATCTAAAAAAGTAAAAAAAAAATATTTAAAATTTTAAAAATATTCACTAAAAACAAAAAAATACGAAAATCAAAAAACTTAGATTGCATTTGGTAGAGCTTTCTAAATATGATTTGAGAGTAGGAGTTGTATTTTGAGTTTGTGAGTTTTGGAATTATGATTGAAGTATGAAAAATTTATTTGGTAAAAGAGTTTTAAAAAGAGTTTTGAATTGAGTGGGAAATTTTTGATGTGACATATGATATTTGATACAAAAACTTACAACTCATAACCAAACATATAACTTAAAATTCTATTAAAGCACATAAAAAAATTTTAAAAAATTGAAAAATATTTTTTTGGAATATATAAAAATTAACATATGTCAATCGCAAAAAAAAATAAAATAAAATAAAAAATAAATAAAAATTGTACTGCTTCGGTCAACCGGTTAGGCCAAATTTTTAAAAAAATTTTCTCGCCTTTAACCGCGTTTTCAAAAGTGAGCGTGAAATTCAACCGGTTAGGCCAAATTTAAAAAAAAAAATTTGAAAAACGCGCCCCACACAGAGTTTTTTGCAGAGTTTTGTAAATGTTGTGGAAATGTGATTTGAGAATTCATTCCAAACATCATATTAGAATAAGGAAATAAAATCATTGTTTGGAAATCGTTCCAAGCACATCCTTAGTTTTCAAAAAATTTAATGTAAAAAATTCAAACCAAACACACTGAATGGCTTTACTTTTCTTGTTATTTATAATGTTGATGAATTTGTCATCAGATCAACTCATGTGCTTAAAATAAAAATAAAAATAAAATCTTAAAAAATTTAAATAAATTACAAATACATTCTTTAAAATTTGATTAAATTATAGATTGTCCATTATAGCTTTGAAAATTACATTATGCCTTTTTCAAATTTCTAACTACATAATAAATAATTTATTTTATTAATAAATCATAAAATTAATTATTAATTTTTAATGATGTCGGAAATATATTTTAATTAATAAAATTAAATAATTTTATTATTGTATAACACAGTTGTTAGAAATTTTATTTTTATATTATTGCTATAAATGAATAATTTTATTAGAAGAATATTTGTAATCTTTAAAATTATAAACTTAATTCGTATTTTAGGTAAATTTTAATAAATATTTTAAATAAAATTGAGTATTGTCTCCTTTGTCTTTGTCTTTGTCTTTGGCTTTTTCTCTCTCTTTTTCCCCTGTCAAACGTAGCAATAGCGAGAGCTTCTACAATCAAACGACTGTAACAAATTGATGAATTAATGATCAGAACGGTCAAGGGCTCACTTTCAACGTCTCGCTGTCTCAAAAAGAACAATTTTTTAGTGAAGAAGATGCAAGAAATCTCCACTGCTGCTTTGATTTCCGGACGAAGATTATTAGCTCATAATTACCGCAAAGGTATCACTTTTCTTCCCTCTCTCAATTTCAACTTCAACTTCAACTTCAGCCCATTGTTGTCAGCTGATAACAACAATATACTTCTGTTTCATTCCCAAATTTCAACTAACCCTAACCCTAACCCTAATCCTCATCCTCCCGATCTGAGTCAACTACGGAAATTACTGTCACAGAAATCCAAATTGGGTTTTGATAAGCTCGATGATGCTCTTTCTTTATTCCATCGGATGGTCCAAATGCAACCCCTGCCTCCGGTTATCCACTTCAATCAACTGTTAAGTGGTATTGCCAAAATGAAGCATTATTCCTCCGTTGTTTCTTTGTTTAAAGAAATACGCTTGTTGGGTATTACGGTTGATTTCTATACCGTGAATATCGTAATTAATTGCCTTTGCCACTTGAATAGTGTAGATTATGGGTTTTCTGTCTTAGGTAGCTTCTTCAAACTTGGTTTTGTACCGTCTGTGTATACTTTCAGCACTCTAATGAATGGCTTCATTCTAGAAGACAAGACTGGCAAGGCCATGGAATTGTTCAATAAATTGGTGAAAGAGGGAGAAATCAAACCTAATGGAGTTATGTATGGTACTATTTTAAATGGGCTTTCCAAGACAGGAAATACTACAACTGCCATAGGGATTCTTAGGAGTATGCGAAAATGGAACTATAAGCCTGATGTTGTGATGTATAACATAATTATTGATGGTCTTTGCAAGGACAAAAATGTAGATGATGCTTTGAGCCTCTTAGTGGAAATGAACCAGCAGGATGTTACACCAGACTTGATCACTTACAACACGTTGATTCACGGATTATGTAATTTGGGCCGGTGGGAGGAAGCAACAAGAATGTTGAGAGACATGACAGGCAAGAATGTTTTTCCAGATGTTCTTACATTTAATACATTGATAAATGCATTCTGCAAGGAAGGGATGGCAAAAGAAGCAGAGAATGTTCTTGAATTCATGGTCCAAAGAGGTGTTGGTCCCAATGTAGTCACATACAATACACTCATGGATGGTTATTGCTTGCTAGGTCACATGGACAGAGCAATAGAAGTCTTTCATTCCATGGTGGATAAGGGCATTGAACCGAACATTCTTTGCTATAACATTTTGATCAATGGATATTGCAAAAATATGAAAATTGAAGAGGCCATGAATGTTTTCCGTGAAATGCCTCGTAAAGGATTGAAACCGACAATTGATACTTACAATACTATGTTGCAGGGATTGTTTGGGGTTGGTAGTTGTTCTACTGCTCAAGGACTTCTGAATGAGATGCAAGCTAATGGTCAGTCTCCAGATTATTATACTTATTGTGTCCTACTGGATGGATTATCCAAGAATGGCCGTATTGATGAAGCATTGTTGTTATTCCAAGAGCTGGAATGTAGTGGCATAAATCCTGGTATTACTATGCACAATATATTAATTGATAGATTGTGCAAAGATGGGAAGCTTGAGGTGGCAAGGAATCTATTTGGTAAGCTTGATTCTAAAGGTTTGCTGCCTGATGTTCGCACTTTTACTATGATGATAGGTGGATTTTGTGAACAGGGGCTATTGGGTGAGGCAAATGATTTACTTGTGGCGATGGAAGGGACGGGTTGTATGCCTAATCATGCAACTTACAATGTTATGGTCCGTGGATTCCTTAAAGCAAATGACTACACTGAAGCAAATATACTTGCAGAGAAAATGATTGGGAGGGGCTTTTCAGCAGATACATCTACTTTGGCTGCAATAGTGGATCTACTCTCAGTTGAAGGTCAAGATCCTACACTCATCACCAAAAACGGACTCCAAATGGCTTCGATCTAGCCAAAACATTTTGTA